AAAATGCAGTTCCAACTTGTGATTTGATTTGGTTTCTTAAGAAATGCTATTAGCATTTAGCATACCCTCTGAACATAAAACCTAGGAGGTCTGTCAGTTTAATGTATCAGGCACAGGTGAGAAATCATGTTAGGAAGACAGAGAAGGAAGCAATGAAGAGGAATGAGACGGAACTGGAAGTCCTGGGTGTCCCCATCCATCCATGCCCCATTTGGGAAATGCTGGTGTCAGCAAATGGTTCAGGGATCAAAGCAGGTTTGGGGATGCACGTTTAAGTGGCTCCTATCATTCAACTCCGGCCAGATAGCCCTGTTCATCCCGGGTCCTTCCCACCTTCCTGCCAGTGCCCAGAGATCAAAACTCAACCTTTTCAAACATTCTGCGACCTGCTTCTTTAGTGCTGAGATCAAAGGGGAACTTTTGTCCAAGTTGTAAAAGACAAACCAAGAAGCAACTTAATGCTATCTCTGCCTCCTCTGTACTCCTGGGGGGTTTAAGGGCACCCTTCAAAAGAAACTCCTTGGAGAAACGCATTTTAACCAAGGCCTGGTGTCAGCACAGGGAGCCCTGGTGGCACAGCGTTTAAGAGCTTGGCTGCTAATCAAAAGCTCAGCAGTTTGAATCCACCAGCCCCTCCGTGGAAACCCTACTGGGCAGTTCTATTCTGTCCTATAGGGTCGCTATGAGTTGGAATCGACTCAATGGCAATGGGTTTGGATGGGTGTCGGCACCCCAGCTCCAAAAATACAGTGGCTCCTGCAGAACACACGCGAGACGGAGTAACTCTAGAGCTCAGACAGACAACACGACCAACCAACAACAGCTTGGAAAGACCACAGGGTAAATGACCATGAAAAAAAAAAAAAAAACAACAACAAAATAAATCTGAGTTTGTAGGCATATTTGCCAAAGCTACCTTAAATGCAAACATTCTAAACCACAGAATTTTCAACCTGGAATTTAGAAATCAAGTCCATTTATGTGGAAACTGAGACCAAGAGAGCCAAAGTAATTTGCCCCAAGCCACACAGTGAATCAGTGGCAGTGATGGGACTGAACCGAGGCTCCCGACACTTACTCTGGTCTCAATCTACTGATGCCCATCCACACGTGGGGCCCAGAGGAGACAGCAACTTCCCACACCCCCTACACATGAAACCAGGGGCACAGCCCAGGCCTCCTGTTCCAGGACTCCACCCATCCAGCTGCCCAAAGGTTAGCACCAGATTCTATCACTAAAAACAATTCTTGTGCTTTTGACTGAAGGTGGAAGACTGGCTAGCATTGCCTCCATCTGCTCAAAAGAACCTTGAGGTCATTCAGTCCATTCCCCTGCTCCGGACTGGATCAAACCCAGGTAACCTCAAAAGAGTATGAATTGACCAGCATTCCACTCCTACGTATACACTTAAGAGAACTGAATATGAATGTTCATAGCAGCATTACACGTAACAGTCAAAAGTGGAAACAACCTAGATGCCCATTAACCAGTGAATGGAAAAAGAAAATGTGGCATATTCATACAATATTATTTGGCAATAAAAAGGAATGAAGTACTGACACGTTACCACCTGGATGGACCTTGAAAACATTATACTATATGAAAGAAGCCAGACACAAAAGGCTACATACTGTATAATTTCATCTATATGGAATGTCTAGAATAGACAGAGCCATAGAGACAGAAAGTAGATTAGTGATTGTCATGGGCTTAGAGGAGTGACTGCTAATGGGTAGGGGGTTTGTTTTTGGGGTGACAAAAATGTTCTAGAATAAGATACTGATGCTGGTTGTACAACCTTATGATTGTACTAAAAACCATTGAACTGTACACTTTGAAAGAGTGAATTTTATGTTATGTAAACTATATCTCAATTTTAAAAAAGGAAAAAGATAATTTAAAAAACAGTGTGAATAATGATATATGTGAGAGAAGTCAGAGTTTTATTCTCCAAATTAAAATTTCTAGACTCCTAAGATGCCTGAAAATACACCCAGTCGGCATTTCCCAAGTTCTACCAAAATAATACTATCAAGAGAAGTTTTCCATAAAAAGTGAGATATATCAGCCTGCCTCTTACCTCAGACCCAGTTATATCAACTCTGGATTCTGAAGCTTTATAGCAATAGTTTAAATCCAGCACAGCAGGAAGGCAGGAAAACCAAAGTAAACTTCAGCTTATACCAGCCATCTGCTCGTATGGTGGGAGTTTTGCCCTCAACATTCAGGAAACACCCACCTGCCAACACAGACCTGGGAGGTGGCAGCCCAACCCTTGGGGAGGGAGAGTCATTCACCAAGGGAAAGGAGCAGGGAAAAAAGCCCACAAATAACACTTGAAACTTGCACCCACAACCCTCATCTTCAAAACAATGAAACCAAAAAACCCAGCCTGTTCCCATAGCCACTCAGTTCCTCTTTGATTGTTATGACCTCTTTGGTTGTATCCCAAGGCGTATACACCCCCTACCCCCAGTGGTTGTGACATAGCCTGTGTTTTTGAGGGTGTGAAGACTGTTCTGACTTCCGTGTAAGAAAAGTGCTTGACACAGACCAAACTGAAGTCTACCTGTGATCCCACTTTGCCTGTTACACACATATTCTGGTAATAAACCTGCTTGCACACTTTTTCACGATTGCCCCAAACATGAAGTTTCCCAAGTGCACCCTTTAAATTGGCCTCTGTGGATCACTGTATACATTTATATATACACTTCCTTGAAATCTGCTACTCTTTTCAGTATGAAAGCACAATACTCCCAGGTGACACAATAAACATTAAATCACTTTCCACTGTGCTGAGAATAAAATCCAAACTCCTCTCTATGGCCTCTCTGCAGTCTGAGAACAAGCTGACACCCCTAGTGCATCATCCTGGAAGGGAAAGCAATATAATAGAACAGGCTATTTCAATATGCAGTCCACAGACTGTAAACTGTAGACTACAATCCATCGCGATCACAGGCATGCTTCTAGAAACTAAGCTGCTCCTGCCTCTTTTCAATTTCATCTTATATCATTCTCTCCTCCTTCCATCTCTCACCTCGCTTCAGACCCTACAGCCTTCTGTGTGTTTCTTAAACCAAGCTCTTTCCATCCTCGGTCCTTTACACTCACCATTTCCTTTGCCTGAAACATTCTGCCCTGGATCTTTGGATGCTGGCTCCTTCTTGTCAGTCAAGTCTCATCTCATAACACCTTTTCTGAAAAGACGTCTCTGACCACCCAATCCAAAGTAGTTGTGTCACTCTTGTCCCCCAGTCACTAGAGACTTCACCTTGCTGTCTTCACAGCACTTACCACTCTGACATTATTGTGTTTACTGCCTGTCTCCTGAAACTAGAAAATCTCAACAAGGGTAGGGACCTTGACCCTCTAATTCTGTGCTAGTTCCTGGTACAGAACAAGCACTCAAATATTTGCTGATTAAATAAACGTGTACCAGAAATATGTATTGCTAACTTCTCTCTTAAAAGTCTCTGAACCAGGCAGGAATTTCCCAGTAAACTACTATAAATACCATTTTATTGAACTTTTCCCCTCTAAAGCAAGAGAGGGTGTGACTTCCTGTTAAGTTCTTACATCATCCTTATTCTGAACATGGTCCAGTTAAAAAAGGGGGGGGTTCCAACATACCACTTTTGGGATTTGCCCCACTTATGGTTCAGACTGAAGTCTGAGACCACAGAAACCATTAAGGCTGTGAAACCTTTTACCTGACCTCTGAGGTGCTAAATAAGGAATCCTTCATTAACAGAAGGAGGGAGATCCTTTATAAGTCAATAATCTAACCCTTGTTGGAGAAAACCAACACCAAAGACTGTAAGCAAGAATCTTCCTTTGCTAGAGTCAAATGTCACTTCCTTTTCTCTGAGTCTTGCTTTGCATTCACTCCCAGGATAAAATTATCTAATGAGGAAGCAACATACAAGAAGACCCTGGAAATTACTCTGGACTAAGTGGCTTCAAATTTGGTTTTGGTCTCTTGAGCTGCACTTCTGGAAGAAAGGCCAGTCCTTCAAAGAGCTAACGTCTAGGGTTCTGTACCAGGAGCTTGCAAGTTCTTATCCACCGTCCAAGCACAGCTATTTTACCTCTACCCTGATCCACAAAGGCTGAGAAAAAACTGGCAATCCTAAAGAGCTATGTGGCCCTGCAGGGGTGTGGGAAGCCAGGTAGGGCTAGAATAGTGTTTTTCAAAACATAGTTCACAGGCCACTTCCATCAAAATCCCTGGTATGCTTATGAAGTGAAAATTAAATTTCTGGGCATCACATAACCCTACTGAATTAGAATCTTTGAGAGCCAGGCTCAGGAAACTCCAATTTTAACACGTTTCTCCCCCATCACACCCGAGATACTTATGCACAGCAAAGTTTGAGAACCAATAAATCAACGGGTCCTCAAGAAAAGAGCAAGGAGTTGATTGAGAGAAGACAAAAGCAGGGGTCTGGGGATGGAGGCTGGGCGGGGAGAGGAGTGAGGGCATGCTCTAGGGCAGCGGAAATCAACAGCGGTGCTTGAGGTTGGGAGGTGAGGACAGGGCTCTGGAAAGGATCCGAGACTGGACTGGGAGGCTGGTCAGGATGGTAGGGAGGCGAGATGCGGGGTGAGCAGGGTCTGGACGTGAGGGGGAGGAGCGAAGGTGCGATAATGGGGGACTCTCGGACGGGTCAGGCCTTGGAGATGAGGACTAGAAAAGGAGGGTCACAGGGCGCGGGGCCGCAAACAGCTACGGGACCTGGCTGAGGCAGTGGCCGAGATCTTCCCTCCGACCCGGCGCCTCCCCAAAAACTCGGGGCCTTGACAAGTCTGCATGTGGGGAGCGGGACCAAGGCCAGGGAGGGGGCTCTGGAAGGAAGCGAGCTCAGGGGCGGCCCTCAGGCCTGACATAGGGGTCCCGGAGGCGGCTCGGAACCAGGCATGGGGAGCCGGAAGGTCCTCGGATCCCCCGGAGGGCCCTGCTCCAGCTCCGGCTGCCGGAGTCTCCTTCACTCACCATCGCCGTCGCCATCTTGGATCCACGTGTCGCCGTAATGACGTCAGCGGAAATGGGGCTTCCCTGGTTACGGAGTTTAACTCCGCGAGGTGTCCTCCAGACTTCAGTTGCTCCTGGAGTTGTGACCACCGGAGGGGTAAAGGAAACTTAGCTCCTGCTCAGAACCTCAGTGTGGGCAGTTAGGTCGCTGATTAGGTGAAGAGAGAGAATGGTGTAACTATGGGCGCCATATTAGCTCCTGGCAGAGACGGCTCCTCCTCTCTCCACTGCATTGTGGGTAGCAGGGGTATGTGGAGATGCGCTCGCTCTCTGGGCGACATCTTTACTGTTGGCGGTACAACCCGTTGCCAGGGTTACCCGGAGCCATGATTTGGGGAAGAGGGACTGGCACTTGGGCTCCGATAGCAGTCCGATACCGAGAATAATTTGCAATTATATATTTGATTACTTATTTGATTGTCATATATCTTCTCCAATAGATTGTAATCCCTATGAGGGTAGGATCTTTTTTTTTTTTAACGCCCCTCTGTTTCTGTCTTCTTGTTTGTAAAATGGGGAGACACGTGGTAACACCTTCATTGTAGATTTACGATGAGGAATCAGTGACATAATGTACATAGTATGCATTCAATAAATAATTGTCATTATATGCTAATACATAGTGGTGGTTCAGTGGTAGAATTCTCGCCTTCCATGGGAGAGACCCAGTTTGATTCCCAGCCAGTGCAACTCATGGGCAACCACCACCATCGTCTGTCAGGCTTGCATTGTGCTATGATGCTGAACAAGTTTCAGCGGAGCTTCCACACTAAGACAGACTATGAAAAAAGACTTGGCAAGCTACTTCTGAAAATCAGCCAATTTAACCCTATGGATCACAATGGTCCAATCCTCAACTGATCATGGGGATGGCGCAGGAATGTCAGCCTTTAACTTGGTTGTGCATGGCGTCACCATGAATCTGGGAGACTTGATGACATGACAGCAGCTTCTGGTATATGGTAGGTGCACAATTAAATATTTATTAAATCAAAAACAGCATATTTAGTGGAAGTAGGCATCTTTATGGACTTCACCATGTGCTAGCTAGCCAAGTGTATGACTCAAGCAAGTTAGTCAACCTTTCTAAGCTACGTCGTAGAAGAGGGCTCAAATAATCATGATATTAAGATTAGAAAAGACCTCACAGTCCATCTGGTCCATCTGTTATTGGAAAGTGGGTATAGTACCAGTACTATCTGCCAGTGCTTCAAAAAGTTGTTAAAAGAATAGTAATGATTAATAATAGTCATCATCAGAACTTACTGAGTGCTGTGTGCCAAGCATTGTACTAAAAATGTTCATAAGACTCTCTTATCTAACCTTACTTCTTGTGGGGGGGGGGCAGTTGAACTTTGATCCCCACCTATGAGCACTATTGTGGTGGATTGTCTGCAAAGATGGCTGCCAACAAGTCCTCCCATCCTTGAATGAGTATGTTGTTTCTCCCATCAAGAAGTAGAATATTTTTCCCCTTACCTTGAATCTGGCTGGTCATGTCACTTGCTTTGACCCCTAAAATATGGTGCAAGTGACTCTGTGCCACTTCTCGGTCTTGGCTTTAAGAGACTTGGCAACTTCTGCTTCCACTCTCTTGGAAGTTACCTGCCATGTAAATAAGTCTGGTTACCCTGCTAGAGAGCCACATGGAGAGAGAGGAAGGCCCAGCCAGCTCCCCAAAACATTCTAGAAATTCCAGCTGAGCACTAGACATGTGAATGAAGTTATTCTAGACATTCCAACCCCAGCTCAACTGCCAGCTGAATGCAGCCACATGAATAACCTCATCTAACACCACATGGAATAGAATAACGGCCCAGCTGAGCCCAGTTGTTTTAAGTTTTGGGGTGGTTTGTTATGCAGTAAAGGAAAATTGAAACACACACCCACGAACTCTTATGATCTGCACAACCATCCCGAGGTGTAGCAGCACAGATGTTATCCCCAAGATGGAAGATAAGAGACTGGAAGTGATTTTCCTGGAGTCTCACAGTTAATAAGTCATAGATTGAGACTTGCAACCAGTTCTCCTGGAGCTTGAATTCTGGATACTTCTCACCATTTTTGGCTACCTGAGGAGGGATGACTGAGGAGGAACAAAGCTTCATGAATGGCATATTATTCCTCAGTATTTCCATTCTCCTCTTCATGCTTTGCATTTTTCCCAAACGGCTTTCATATCCCAATCTCCTTTGAAAATATAAGCCAAAATCCTGGGGCTAGGCTGTCTGGGTTCAGATCTCATTTCTACTTCTCATTACCTCCATGACTTGGGCAAGTTTCTTGGCCTCTCTAAACCTCAACTTCCTCATCTGTAGAGCAGGGATCGTAAAAGACCCTACCTCATAGGATGGTCATGTGGACTGAAGAAGTTAATATATTTCAATGGCTTAGAATAGTGCCTGTTATGTGGTAAGTGCCATATTCATGTTTGCTATTATTATTATTTTGAGATCAGCAGGACAGGTCTTCTTATCTTTGGAATGATGTAGAATTGAGAGGCAGAGATGTTAAGGGCCTTGGATAAGATAACCCAATGAATCAGAAGGGGGCTAAGGCTCAACTCAAATCCACTAAGTCATGTCGGCACCTCTGCTGTACAACCAAACAGACATAGAAAACCAAATCCAAACCAAAAAGGCTATTATGGTTAACATCAGGGCATACAGTCCCAGATACCTGTGAAAGTGCCTTTCCAAGGAGAATGGGAGGATGGGGCGGGGCTGGGCTTGCAGGAAACAAATTTGCTCCTAAATTGTCTTCAAGGAGAAGGGTAGAATGTACTCAATCTGCCATTCTCACGTTGGTTCCAGTTATCTATTGCTACATAATACACCACCCTAAAACCCAGTGACTTGAAACAACCATGATTTATTATTTCTCATAATGCTGTGGGTTGGCAATCTGGGCAGTTCTGCAAGTCTCATCTGGGATCACTCGTGTGGCTGTAGTCATCTGACAGCTCAGCTAGGGCTGGAAGGTCCAAGGTGGCCTCATGTCTGAATGGTTGGTGTTGGCTCTCCACATGCTCTCTCATCCTCAAGGAGGGTAGCCTAGGCTTCTTCACATGGTGGTCTCAGGGATCCATGAGGGTGAGAGCAGAAGCTGCAAGGTTTCTGAAGGCCTAACTTTCCAGAACTCTTTTAGCATTAGTTCCACAACATTCTATTGGTCAATGCAAGTGACAAAGTCAGTCCGGAGTCAAAGTGGGAGAGGACCACACAAAGGAAGCATGATTTGTAGGGGAGCCATTTTGTAACAATTCATCGCACCATCCTTATCTAGGCCACTGTCCTCTCTCTCACTTAGGTCTCCTACCTGGTTTTCCTACTGCCACTCTTATTACCTCTAATCTCTATTCTCCATTTAGCAATCAAAATAGTCTTTTAAAAACAAGAATTGGACTGTGTTTCTCCCCTGTTTAAAACTCTCTAGTGCTTCCCATTCTGATTAACATAAAATCCAGGGTCCTCACCCTGGCCTGCAACGCTCTGCATGATCTGGCCTTGTCTCCTACCATTTTTCCTCACTCATCATGCTACAGGCACAGACCTTTCTGGAACTAACCAAGCTCACCCCACCTCAGGGTCTTTGTAGTTCCTTCTACCTGAAATACTTCTCTCTAAATTTTGCGTGGCTGGCTCCTTCTCATGTTTAGGTCTTGGCTCACTCTCACCTCCTAAGATAGGTGTTCTCTGACCACTCCATCTAAGAAAGTTTTCTCCTCTCTTATTCTCTATACCTACACTCTATTTATTACCTGTCACAGTTTGTATATATTTGGTTTACATTTATTTAGTTACTTGTTATTGTCCATCTCCCACGAAGGTTGGGACTTGGTCTATGGTAGTCACGTCTGTATCTCTATGAAGTACATACGCAAAAAATATTTGTTGAATGCCTGCGTTATGAATTAACCTCAAACCTTACTCTATCAGTTGAGGATGACCCCCCAAAATAACAACGGCTTAACAAGATAGAAGCTTACTTTCCTTTGTCTTAGTTTGGGTTCCCCAGAAGCTGACTCTGAGAGAAGGATTCAAGTAAAAGTATTTACTTGGGAGGGGAAGGGACACCAAAAGAAGGTGGTATGTTGGAGCTGGTTTATACTGCCTTGCAAGAGCTGATTGGTAAATTTCTAGGAATTTTGTGAACTGGTTGTTAAACACAGGCATTACTGAAAATTAAATTAACATTAAATAAGTTATATTAAAAACAAAGGTAATAAATACTCAAAACTCATTACTTCCTAATTATTTTACTGTTGTTTGTGCTCTTGAGGTTATTTATGTCTATTGTATCTGTATAGTGGAAATACTGTTAATTGGTATGCTACTGCACATCTCTTCCTAACTCTGGGTTCAGTGACATCTGATTAGTAGCAGGGCCCACTTATCAATTAACACAGTAAGTGTAGCACCCAAGGTCCCTGATACTTTTAGGGGCCATGGAAATGTTTAAAAGAAATTGATTTCTTTTAAAATCAGAAGAAAAAAAAGACCTTTTAGGTCAAAGAAAATGTTTTCATATATTTGTCTTTATAACAATACAGTTGTAAAATATAATTTTATGGAGCAAGGGTCCCAAAAAGGCAAAAGTGCCTAAGGCCCATGAAATTCATGGAGCTTTTGTTGGTAGCCTGGAATTAGCCATGGTGGGAATAATTTATATCATGGAAATCATCAGCAAATGCTACAAATCAGGGCTTGATTTAATGTTTTGTTGATGGTCTAACCAGGGGTCAGCAAAATTTTTCTATAAATGGCCCGACAGTAAATATTTCAGGCTTTACACACCATATGGTTGTGTTGCAAATACTCAACTCTGCCATTATAGTACAAAAGCAGTTAAAGATTATAGATAAATAACAGGCACGTTCCAATAAAACGTACTTTGCCGTAGTTTGCCAAACCCTAGTCTAGACTTCAAGTGATGGAGAAAATATTAATAATGTAGATTAAACTTAAAAGTGTGTTGTCTGTAGCTGTTACACTGTGAATAGCACAAAAATGTGACAGTATTCACAACTCTTACCTCATTCAGCCAGGAAGTTGTTCACATCATTGACTAATAAGTGAAGTTCTGATATAAGACTTCATTATTTCACTTTCATCTTATTCATTAGTAGAAACAAAACTGTCAACCCACATTCATGTTGGAACTATATGTGGAGAGCCTGTTGTTAAACTTTACCAGCACACCACTGCCATCAGTGTAATGGGGAAGTGATATAGGGAAGGAAAGGTAAACCAATAAAAAGTATGTTGTCAAGCAAGTTACCACTGCGGGTAACTGGAGCTTAATCCCACAGGGAAACTCTGGGAAATGATGCAAAACATACACTGCAGAATTATCCCATCCAAGGGGCAAGGGAGCTGGGATATGCATATACCAACTCCCAAGAGTCATTAGTTGAGAACCTACCCCAAACCAGTTGCCATCAAGTCGATTCCAACCCATGGTGACCTGTGCACTACACAGGGTTTTCAAAGCTGTGACTTTTTGGAAGCAGATCAGCTGGCCTTTCCAGGGGTGTTAATTCCTCGGCAAGTCCAACCTTCTGAGAACACCAGCAACTGAGGCTTTCTGCAGTTCTAGAAAAAGAGCCCTCAGGCACAGCCATGCAGATAATGGCAGCTGAAAGTCCAGCACCCTTTAAGGGATGTGGGCAGGGTACTAACAGTGTTCACCACACCTCTGTGGTAAATGTCGGGAGGAGGACAATCCAGGCTGGTATGGTGGCTCTGCCCCAAAACGTCCTCAGCGACCCAGGTTCCATCCAGCTTTGCCATCCCTACAGTTCATCCTTGGTTCTCAGGGTCCAAGATGGCAGCTAGAGCTATAGCCTTCACGTCACATTCCAGGTGGCAAGATAGAGGAAGAGATGAGAAACAAGGGGAAAAAGAACCTATACCAGCTGTCATTTAAGCAAAGTTTCTGGAAGCTGTTGCACTATACTTCTGCTTACAACCCATTGGCCAGAACTTAATCACATGGCCATCCTTGGCTGCAAAAGTGGGTAGTCAGTGTAGCCTTCATTCCAGGTGGACATCTGCTTCTAATAAAATTTTTTTTATCTGAAAGAAGGGGGAGCATGGATATGGGACAACTAGCAGTCATTGCCAGCTCCCCAAAAGGAAAGGGATAGAAATAGAATGCAAATCAACATAACCTTAAGCCAGAACATACTGTGATGGGGGTGGACACATGACAAAATTGAGGGCCTAGGTTAGGATATTATTTCAAATCTCAGGGGAAAGATGAAACAAATACTTTCTTTGTATTTGAACTCAAAGCCGCAGCTAGAGGCTAGATTGAGATAGGTCATTGACAACTTAGAAGAGGCATCATACCCATGTCTTCCACTGTCACCTTCTAGGGGAGGCATTCTTACAGTTTTTCCCATAGAATTGGTGGCATGAAATTTATCCCCATGTTTTCATCCATTTTTCTTATGATCAGAGGAATGAATCAGACTGTTGGCTGATAGGGTTTAGAGGGCAGTGTGAACTGGAAAAGAAGGAGGAATTGACCCCATGACCTTATCCATACCAGTGATAGGCTCCAATCCCTGTGGTTGTTTCTGTCAGTTATTGCTATGATAATGCTGTGTAACAAAAAACAAACAAAAAAACCTCGGAATTCAAAGACTTATAATAATAAGCATCTATTTCTCTTTCACACATCTGCAGGGCAGCTAGGGTTCAGTTGATCTAGGCTGGGCTCAGCTGGGCTTAACTCCAAGCTGCAGTTTGGGACAAGGTCAGCTTCACATGTTGCTAATCTTTCTTGGACCAGTGGTTACCTGAGGCATGTTCTCTTCAAGGCAAAAGGCTGGAGTGCAAGAGGACAAGCCCAGCCCCACAAGCACATTCAAGCCTCTGCTTGCAGGTAGCTCCTAACATCCCATTGGCTAAAGAAGGTCTCATGGCCAAGGGCAACATCAACAAGGTAGGGAAGTGTACCCCTCCCAGGGGGAGGGAGTAAATATTTTCTGAACAGTAAGCTAACGTACAAGTCACAAGTGCAAATTCCCATCACAGGACCCTGGACTCTGCCTTCAGATAGTCAAAGACACATCCCAAACCAGAGAGCAAGAGAGAAATTCAATCATTTAGCTAAGTAAATTGAAACATGGTTACTTTTGTTTTCCACTGCTCTTACACCCAGTCTCTAAGATTAGATCCCCGTCCTACTTGCAGGTACAGGATCAATTCAGTATATGGGTTCCATGGGACCCTAGATGGTATGGTAATGTAGATCCTTTAGGGGGTGCAATAATATAGAAAAGTGCCGTTTGTTTCTCACCCCACTGACCACCTCTCCTTTCCCTTTGTGACGTGAGCTAACTGCCAGGGATCTTCAGCTGAGGCAACATGCAGGAAGTGCCCACCACCTCCTTGTCGCCTCTGCTTTCTCCCAGGTCTCCCTCCCCTCCCATGTGAGAGCCTCCTGTGCAGGGTAAAGGTACTTTTAGCAGCCACATCTCCAGACCCCAGGATTTCAGCAATAATGGATGCTGCGATGGTTAATGTTATGTGTCAACTTGACTAGGCTATGATTCTCAGTGGTTTTGCAGACATGGGACTGATTGCTCTCCCATAATGTAATATAATGTAATCACCTCCATGATGTGATCTGATGCGA